GTATTTGAGTGAGTTAGAGAAAATGGCATTAGGGTGGAGCTTTTTGACATGCCGCCCCCCTTGCGGGACGCAACATCTGTGCTTGGGAAACGCTCGAGCTACCAGCTCGAAAAAAAAGCTCAAAAATTCAAAATGACGGTCTTAAAGGACAGTCCTTTATTTTAACCCCCTGTCCTTTATAATTTTTTTCAAAATAAAAATTGGTTGAAAAATGAAGACTGCGGTGAATTATTACATTAAATTCCAATTTTGAACCACTGTGTGCTGACTTCGGTGAATGCATTTTGGCAGCAAAGGATGGCGAATTCCTTGAAAAGGATTTGGCTTCATTTTTCGGAATCGGTTAATTAAATGGTAAATATTTAATTTAAATTACGATATGGGTAAGGTACTTTTATCATACAAGTTGTATGTACGTGTTCCCAAATAATTTTGAAAAAAAGTCCTTTATTTTACATTGGTTAATATGGTCACCGAATTCGCTGAAATCGTATACCTCGGAGGTTATTGGGGTCGCTGATTATGAATTTTATTAAAGTCAAATGTTAAAATTCAAGCTTCAATATGTCTGGCATTTATTTTAATTAACGAATTAACATTAATTAATTAACATTCTTCATTAACTTTGAAAATTTTTATGACCCTTTTTTGAATTTCGAAAACTGACAGCAGATTCGTTGTCGTCAACCCCAAAACCGCTGAGAATGTGTAATAAATTGTAGGCTAAGTCATTCATTTGCATCCACATTAATTGATTTCTTGTCCATAGAGCATTGGTAGGGCGATAAGTTTATAGACAAAAAAATGGTGGTGTAATTGGGGAACTTACTTGATCTTCACTAGCCCTGAAGCAGTTACACGTCCGTATTTATTTTTCACTGCACATTCATAACGACCTTCATCTTTGATCGAAACATTTTTTACAATAAGACTGCCGGATCCACTGACTTTGTATTTGTCATTTGCATATGCGTTTGGAACTACAAGTCGTCCATCATGTCTCCATATTAGCTTCAAAAAACACAAAAAGTAAAGCAATACATTGACAGCAATAAAAAAATATAAGGGCGTAATGCTTGAAACACAATACCGGCGAACGGCGAAGTTCGCCGAATTTGGCGATGCCGTTGTTCACCATTGGCCCTTCTATTTCGCCTACTTTAATACAATTAGAACAACAGCGAAAACAGCTGATAGAATTTCGTCTCATTTACAATTTGGGTGACCATATTTTGAAAAATGAAACGAAATACTGAAATGAGGAAATTATAGCAAGTATAACTATAAAAAATAAAAAATTATCATAAGTAATTTTATGTTAAGCCATATTTGACGAATCGATAACTGTATTTTTCACCAAAAAAAAAAATTATCGCATTATATGTATTTTGTTTTCTTCTAAAAGTTTGAGAGTAGATAAACAAACGCCACCTTTGCCACTTACTGCAGCCATCACCCAGCGAGGCGATTAAAATAAATCTATCGCCACGAAATTACGCCTGGTGTTCTTTTTTTGGCAGTGCGAATATCGCTGTGGTGAGTTTGCCGTTCGCCGGGATTGTGTTACAGCTATCAATAACACTAACCAGTACTTGAATAATTCTTGTAGATATTATATGAGGACCACAAACCTAGGGCGATGCCGTGCAATAGAGCCATAGGAAATAACGGCATATGGCTTTATTTCAGTTTACATGGAGAAATAAAGCCATATATTTGCGTATGGTCTTATTTCTCACTGTGAAAGAGAAATAAAGCCATTATAGCGTTATTGCACCTTTGATAATTTTTTGTGTAATGTTTACCTAGTGCACAGCTAATATGCATATGTTCATAAAGAAACTGGGTAATTCTCTAGTTGAAGGTACAACTTGCAAAAAAAAACGTCCAAAACTGTCAGGAGGGGTACCAATCGGCGCATTTTTATATCTGTATTAACAATTTGGAGGTGGGGGTTTATATTGTTAACCGTGTAAAAGTTATTAAAAAACACTTTTTTTAAATGTTATTCTTCTTTATGAGTAATTGCACGCTCAAAAATGAATTAAGTCACCAATATTCTCTTTTGAAGCACTACTAAAATATATTATTTTAAAAAACTTTTTCAAAAAGTACATCAATCAATCAAAATCTATTAAAAAACAAGTAAACAATGTTCCCGAACTGAAACGAGAAAATGCAAGTGATGCCACTTTATTTATATTTAGTAATAATTCAGTTTTCCTTATATAGCGTCTGCAATGTTGAGTACACTGAGGGAAACAAATATTAAAATCCATCAGAAACGTAATTGATCTTATTATAAACGTCAACGTAAGTACGGTACATTGGAAAATATTCAATTCAATTACGCGCAATTAAAATGACCGCGTTCTTTATAAAACAGCGTTCGTGAAGTGACTAATCTAAACTAAAAACAAACAAAAAATTCAATTTGCATGTTGCCTGCAGTGGAATTCGAATCCTTACCCTCTCTGGACATCAACAAATTGTGGCAATCATCTTTGCGCACTCAGCTACAGACAGACATAAAAATGTGCTTTCAAATGTTGAATTTCCATCAACAACACGGCACGCGATTTGGACGGATAAACATGTATTATGTATGTATGTGTGTGTTGTCGCCGCTCTGCATGCTTTAGATGCGTATACGCTTACTTAATCACTTACATATATGTACGTATATGTATATGCATTATTTCCTGTCAAGACTTTTTCACACACCATAAAGAAATATAATTTTAGCAATTTTGCAATATTCGAAGTTTTACAAGCGTTATTGTTACTACCTTTTTTTTGATGCATTCTGTAATTATTTATTATCCACTGATTCATAGCATGTATCTTGCTGATTTTTTCCACTATAATAATTAATAAGACGCGCTTTAGCCTGATTGTTTCAATTTTTTCAAATAATCATTATCCCAATTTTTATTGAGCTTGAGGCCGTTTTTAATGAAATACTTATTGTGGAAAAGCAACAATAATTTGAAAAATTTGTAGAAGTGGAAGCTATTTCGGAAATCACCACATTTCCTCATCAGACTTCTTTCAGTAGGATTCGAACCGACGATCCCACTGACCCAGCCAGTTGCCTACGCACTATGCTTAGTTCGCCTTGTAAATTATCGTTGCTTTTTTCCCACTTCCCACTGATCAAGTGTGAATTGCAGCGGAATAGCTGCGCTTGATTGTGTTGGCTTAACAAATGAAAAAGAGGGCACCGGGCCGCCTCAGGGAGTAATGGTGGCCTTACTCCCTTGCTGCGGCAAGGGGCGCTGTCGCAGTGTACCGTATGATTTCCCCCCATACTACGCAGACCACTGCGCTTGCCTCGTCGAGCAGGTGGTCGTACGAACAAGATGAATCACAACCTATACAAAAACCCAACAAAAACAAAAACCACAACAAAAAAATTGTTAAAAACTTCGTCTTCCCCAAATCGGGGAAAGACTGCGCAGGCGCGAGCGCCATATGCGCCGCTTCGCTCCAGAAGGAGCTCTTCCGGGCTGGATGTGGAGGACACTTCACGCCGGCCCGTGACTACGGGTGTTATGGTGGGGCCTAGCACCAGCAAGGCTGCAGGGATTGTGTTGGAAACGTCAAAGCCATCTGCGGCTGTGGTTGCTGGGGGCCCATCAAACGCCGGCACGGCTGCGAAGTCTACCACCACAGAAGCAGAGGCCTCACGGCCTGGCCAGAGTGGAGGGCGACAAGTGGCCACAAAAGAAATCACCGGAGGCGTAGCAACAATGGAAACTATGGGCCACGCCACCCAGGAAACCGAGTCTGAGCGGGGTATGTACGCTGAAAAGCGTAAGGCCGCGAGGACGCTAAAGAAGTACGACGGTGTCCCGCTGGATACGTTGCCCCAGAGCGCGAAGGAAGCGGTGGAAAGGGCGAAAGCTCTACTGCCCAAATTCCAGGTCAATCTCGGGGCTTCGGTGGAAAACCGGGTACCCCCGTCAAAGCGACAAAGGTTGGTGGAGGAAAAACTTCCTGCACCCAAGAGAGTCCGGCCACACTCCTGGATGGGCAGACCTAGCTTTGCCGAGGTTGCGAAGGACCGAATCCTCATAGGGGATTTGGACCGAGGCAACGAGCTCGGGTCCATACCGAAGGACCAGAGGAGGTGGGTGAAAGCAGCCTTGGCGAACGTCATTTTCGATGTTCTGCTGGAGAACCCCGGAACCCCTCCAGCTTGCAAAGGTGCTGGTTGGTACCAGGGCCACGTAAAAGTGGTCGCCTGTGAGGATCCGAGATCGGTGGCGCTGTATAAGGCTACCGTTGCAAGGATAGGCCCTGTCTATCCAGGGGCTAGGTTGGATGTTATAGACTGGAAGGATATTCCAGTCAGACCAAGAGCAAGGGCTTGGGTACCGACGACACCTTCGGCACCAGAGAGCATCCTAAAGATGCTTCAGATGGTGGACCCAGCCCTTCCGACGAGGGATTGGAGGGTCATCCGAGTCGAGGACGCTGATGGCGCTTCAAGACAGGTAGTCTTGTCCCTAAACAAGAAGTCACTCTCGCTCCTGGAGAAGCGGCAAGGCCGAGTATATTATGGCCTCGACGAGGTCATAATTAGGGTCTATCGCGGGGACGCGCAGCGCGCCTCCAGTTAGGGTGCAGCAATGGACATGGACATTGAGGCACCCGAACCGGAGCCGGAACCGGAGCTCTCCGACGCTGAAAGCAATGACTCCTCTCAATCAAACCACGCATCGGCAATGCGTAGGGTGTTTGAGGAGGAAGAACTGCTTTCCAGCAAGGGGAGTGCGAGGCTGACGTAACTGTCGTAGCGACGGAGGGGGTGTCAGGTACTCCATATGAGAGTACTGCAAATCAACCTCCACAAATCTAAAGCAGCTTCGGCTGCTCTTCTATGTCGTCTGTCCAAAGGCGATGTTGAGGCGGCACTAATCAAGGAACCGTGGGTTTGCAACTCAAGGGTCTGTGGATTGAGTTCCGCGGGCTTCGAGCTGTTCTCAGAGCGTGGTAAAGGTAAAATTACAGCCTTCATTTTGGCAAAAGCGGATTTAAATATCTTTCTTTTACCTAATTACAGTGATGGTGACGTCGCGACAACAATATCAGAGCTGGAAAGCACATCCATCGTGCTGATTTCGGCATACATGCCCTATGAATCGGAGCACCCTCCTCAAACAACGGTGCGGAACTTGGTGACCAAGTACGAATACGGTCATATTTTGATTGGAGGCGATGCCAATGCTCACCACGTCCAGTGGGGCAGCTCAGACATAAACGATCGGGGTGAGTCACTTTTCAACTACCTCCTAACAACTAACCTACTTATATGCAATAAAGGTAGGGAGTACCTTCATTACTAAAAACCGTAAGGAAGTACTAGACATAACTTTGTGCAGTGAAAGCTTAACTGAGATGGTGGAGGGTTGGCGGGTTCTAGATGAACACTCCTTCTCTGACCATCGCTATATTGAAATAGCATTGAATTTCTCTCCAACTAGCCCAAGGCTACGCAAAAACTTAAAAAACACAGATTGGAGCTACTATAAACAGCTACTTGAAGACAAGCTCTCTAGCTTAGCCCGTACAGATCCTGAATGTACCGAGGATCTAGAAAAAATGGTCAACGTATTTACCTCGACCAGCTCAGAGGCCCTAGGTCAGGCGTGCCCTGATCCTAAGCCGCGGGGTAAATGTAAACCACACTGCTGGTTGCTGGAGTTAGACCCGCTTCGCAAATCTTGTAGGGAGCAATTCAATAAGGCCAAAAAGCTTAGCTGTGAGCTCGAATGGCAGGAGTGCAAGCGGTTACTCCGGGCCTATACAAAAGCTCTGAGGGAAGCAAAGAGATCTTCCTGGAGGGTTTTTTGTAGTGGCATCGAAGGTGTTTCTGAAGCTGCCAGGCTGCGAAAAATTCTCTCCAGATCTCCCAACCCGATGGGCTTCTTACAAAAGCACGATGGATCATGGACCTCCACGGTAAAGGAAACCCTTGAGCTACTCATAGATACCCACTTTCCTGG